CGACCGGAGAGAAATCAGGCGCAGGACCAACGGCTTTACGTGCTTTCCGAGGCACGGGGGTGAGACCGTCAGCTTCCTGACTCCGGGCAGCTACTGAGAATTTCTTGACAGAAAAACTCAATAATTAATTTTTGGTTCGACCCGGGGTTCGAACCCGAGACCTCATGAGCAGCAGTCGCACTCTACCACCCCTAGACCAACGAGGCATACGACTCTACAACCATAAAAAGATTGACAAACAGGTAAGAGTTGCAAAGGCGATTCAGGTGGCTCAAGAGGCCTATGGTAGCTGTAGAAATATGATGATGATGAACTGGTTGCATCATCAAATAATATTTGTAAAATCTAACGGTAAATTTAGCATAAATCGCTAGACACGTAAATAAAAATCAAATATAGAAAACAAAGAATTTATTTTAGTTAGTTCTTTCCAAATAAATACAACTTAAAACCTTAAAATGATTTCACAAAAACGAAACAAAAACAACAATGTTTTTTTTAAATACTAAACCGTATCTAATCAATAAATTAATATTTTTAATATTTAAAATACTTTGTACGAAATGTCTTAATTAATGTAATAAAAATATTACCAAAATTACAGCTTAAACCCTACCTTATTTACAAAGTTGTTACTATACTAATAATCTCACTTTGGTAAACTGTGGTTAATGAATTATGAAATATTTTAGCACTAGCAATCTGAATAATATTTCAAATATTGAAAGCTTCATACTTTTCTAATTCTTAATAACTATATAATGCTACTTCCAAAGCAAACACTCAAAACACACACAAAAATACAAAAAATACCATGGTAAACAGTGTTTAAATTCGCAGCAACAAAGTTGTGATCAAGATTATAAATTTTATTTTATTTATATCTTGCGTACTCATTACAATTGTAATTTTTATAATTAGACGTTGTAAACCCGCACTCTTGCACTGATACTGGCACTAAATGCTTTTTTGTATTTTTCCAAAGTAACATATCTCTTTCCACCTGGGCCTGGCTTTTTTCTCAGAGCGGACAGGGAGAATCCGCCACTTAATTATAAAATCTAATTTATAGAATCGATGAACTTCATTTTATAATAAATAGAATATGAATCAAAATTTATTTTATTTTTAACACAGTATTTAGTACAGAAAAATTGCGATAAAGAAATTAGTACATGTAGTATTATAAGTATGTAATTTAGAACTTTTGCCACAAACGACCGCACGCGGATTGCTGCTTGCATATTATCGTTTATGAAAAAGTGGATTTGGATACCATTTTACTACTTTGATACTAAATTTCTGAGCATGTGAACTATTATCTATATGTTAATTCAAAAGGATGATACAACATTAAATTAATTTTATACCTTCATGTTTAGTTGCGGCAAAGCGATACGTGATAATGGCCGCTATAATAAAAGCCAAAATGAATAAATCAAAAAGGAGGTTGCCTTCGTTCATATTCTCCGCATTATCGTGACTTTTGCATTATGCATCAGAGCGACATGATTCGGGCGACGAAACATTAGTAAACAATTGCTTGCAAGATGCATACGAAATGCAGTCGGTAATGTAAATGCGAAGAAAACAGAAATTGATTTAATGAATGCGCAATGTAATACTCAAGATCGTTCTTAATCGGGATTGAATGATGTCAAACTAATACATAAGTTTCTCAAAGAAATATATTTTTAATCTCATTTTATTTACTATAAAGTATTGAATACATAGCAATGATAGCATCTCATGTAAAGTATCTTACAAACTTGTTAAAGTATATCTTGTTAGTAAAAGTCATTTTTATAATACGGTTATGTAAACAGACCCACACATTGAAGACACACCTTATTGATTTTGAGTTTGTTCTATCTCAAATTTATAATCTAATGAAAATACTGATATTTAATTGAAAAATTAGATCAGTTAAGTCATCAACATCTGCAACTGAATTAAAGGGAATATGAACAATATTTGATTTATAGGTTTTCACCTCACTCAAGCCAGGATAAATATTCTACATGTTTATTTCAGTGTACTTATTATAACTTTCACAAAACAAATATTTTAATTTTTTTTATAGGATAGGGTGGTAAACGAGCACACAGTCCCCCTGATGGTAAGTGGTTGCTGTGGCCCATATATCCTCGTATATATCCTCGATTACGAATCAAATGCAGATGCGTTTGCACCCGTGTGGACAAAGATATAATCGTTTTCGTTTTCACTTCGTTTCCAGTAAAAAGCGTCTCCGGTTCTCTATACTCACAAAATGAAACACAGCAGCATTTACGCTGATATTCTATGAGATTGAGCGTGGTCTTTCCCCGGTCGAGCCGACCCATTCGTGCTACAACTATACTACTAATATAACTAACTGCAGCACGGCTTTACCACGTATAAACCATGTGCAAAGAATATAGTATGTAAATAATCATAACATGAAACAATATTTTTGCAAAAAATCTCCAAGCATTTTAAATTAAACTCATTGTAATACAGCGTTATATCTCGAATCGTTATAATTATCAAATAGATCTAATAAACAAATAGATACCAGACTCATTGTTTTTAAACAAACGAACCTGAACTTCGAAATAAGAAAAAAGGTAAAACAAACAATTCATTCAATATTGACAAAAATCAATTATCCGTTAAAACGGTTAGATTGTTTTTCTGTTTGTCGGTGGAGATCAGCTTACGCGCCGCGGTTCTACGGGAGTGCATGAGGCTTGCTTTGGCGGAACCGGTTCTACACGTCTTTATTAGATACTGCCCATGTTGAGTACAGAGTAGTTTCATAATGACTTATGAAACTAAAAAAAATTGTTATATTATTTTATCACGGAGAGAAGCCCAGCTTTTACCACAGAATAAATAATAGTTCAAGAACTTTTACGGACTGAAGAAGACGAAGACAAGGATTGTAATTTATGTTTGTAATATTAACAGTTGTAATACAAACTACCTTTTTTGCAATTATTTTCCCAAAATTTTGTGTAGACTTTTGAGTAAATTCCTATTACTGTTATAGTTCCTATTTTCTTTGTAGTGTCCCGCATCTTTATAGTAACGTGCTGCAACTTCGTCAATGAAGTATGCGCTAATGAGTAGGCCGAAAATTTCATCGGGCTGAAAAGGATGTCGAAAAAGAAAATGAAAAAAAAAACGTCAAAGTGACAGCGGAATCCCGCTCCGCATTTTTGTAACGCGCTAACATCTGAGAGACGATTAGTGTCGCGCTTATCGGAATTAGCTACGGGCATCCACTTCCTTGAATAGATTAAGAGTTAAACGTTTTTCCACTCGCATTTGAAATTTTTTGTTCTTTGTATATTTAGAAATATAAAATGTGGAAGCTTAACCGAAATGAGTTCCTACGCGGGCCCCGTCTTTGCCCACGCAAACCCTAATATTTTAAATGAACTCCAAATAGTTCAGAACCTCTTCTGTCGTCGAGCTGCGAACGCACCTTGGTACGTCCGTAATGCCGACCTTCATCGGGACTTAGAGCTCCCAACAATTCAACAATTTTTTAAAAAACTCTCTGAGAACTTCTTCAAAGCCTCAGAATCGCACCCAAACCACTTAATTCGTGAGGCAGCTTCTTATGCAGCCCCACCCCCCTCTCGCTATCGTGTCCGCAGGCCGAGAAACTCTCTCTCGGACCCGCCTAATAAACTGTCAAACGACCTGAACTGTCTCCTGGCGGCTCAGGCCAACTCTAATTAAATTCAATTATTGTAATAACTAACATTAATTTGCCTTCGTAGGCACTCCCTCAGCGGCACTTAGCCGCCTGCGCCCTCTTTTCCCAAAAGAGGGTCGCTCATGATAAGGCACAATACAGCTTGATCAGCCGGCTGCCTGTCCCCAAAGGCGGTTTTTAGAGGGTATCACTTAGGGTACCCGGTAGGACAGTGAGCCCCTCATAACCACGATAGACCGGCTATCGTGGTATGCGTAATGCATTTTCCGCCTCCCTACGTATAGGGTAGCCCTTTAATTGCTTCGGGCGCAAAAAAAACCGAAATGAGAATAGATTAGAGAACATATTATAAATATCGTAAAACACAAAACAAATGTAAACATTTCCTTTTTAAGGAAATGGTAGCCTTCATATTCTTCTATTTCATTAATTTGTTTTGGGAAATATATAAACAGAACAAAAATATACTGTATCAGTTTATACTCACAGCAGAACAATATACTAGCTTTCATTTCAGTCTGTTTAAAATATTAACTACAGAGAAAACTTGTACTTCTTGTTGCGGGATACGAGAAAGGAAATCCAAAGGTTTTTATGCAAGTAGAGTGGCATTGTATACTTACATCTCGCCATGTAGGTGATTACGTTCAACAAGCGTAAGCGTTAATTACAGGTGATAAGAATAATGTCATAATGTCAACATACAAAAAAGCTTGTGCTAGGCGAAGTTAAATTAACATGGCGCCCCGACGGTAAGCGTCTGACATTTGTCACCGGACCACCAGCACCGGCATATTTATAGCGACGCCCGCGCATGCGGCTGTGGGCGGCTGAAGCGTCCGTCTCTTTATCTGAATATCTGTATTAACTGTGCACACATTTAGAACTATTCGCCCACGTGTCGCCTCATGTGTACATTCACTTTGGCTAGCGTGGAGAAAGAAGCGATTATCCATTAATCTTTCAACAGTTTATGGGCATCATGAAATAATACCATATTTGGAAAAAAAAGAGGACGTTTTACCATACCATTTTTTACACACAACCTTGATATCCCTCGCTTATAAATAGAAATTAACTATATATATATATATATATATATATATATATATATATATATATATATATATATATATATTATCTATATTGGGTATATATATATATATATATATATATATATATATATATATATATTAATTTAAATACTGCTCTATACATATTTACAGAAAGAGTTGTACTTAGATGCATTAACTTAGTCTAATATTATATGAGGTAGGCCTCGCTAATATCGTTACGTAAACGTAAACCAATAGAACATACAAATTAGCCCTAGGATACTTGACGCTGGTGTGAAAGTTATAGTAGTAGCCGATGACGTTTCTTCATGCGGGGTTTTCTTGTGTGTTCTAGTATTATTCTTTTGGTGCTTATGGAAGCATAGCCTAGCAAGGTTGCTTTGCATCCTTGGGCAATCGAAATCTTCGTCACCGTCACAGCGGCATTCTGTTAACGCTGCGGCCTTTTCTTGCTTCTTTAATATTTCTATGGAATTGAGGCACCGATTTGAACACTTTCGACCGCGGTACATTGAACGGCAGAGCTGGCGATAGTAGCTCAGAGCCGTGGAACATTGGGCGTCAGCAAGACAAATCAGCTGAGAGAGACGGCACGATGATGTAGCATTTGCTGCGCCGTTCAAAACCTGAGATCGACATATGTCAATCCTTTGCTTCGCTTCCACGCAATATTCGTCCTCGCACTGGCACTATAACAAAAGAAAAAACTACATTACATTTCTCATAATCAAAGCCTAGAACAGTGTAATGGACTGACGATCGTTCGAAATGAAGAATTTGCCACCGCGATTGGAAATGATTCGGCTGGCATTTTACGTCTGATGTAAATGAGACGGATATAGCGCCACCTAGCGGAAGCTTTTTGGTGTTTTCTATTGTCGCCTCTTACGACACAGACCGGACGAAATGGGATGATGAAATGTCTTTGGTTACCCACCACACAACATATGGGTAGTAGTGCTGAATATGAACTTGCAAGTTGGACATAACGGAACGACGTGCCAAAAACTTAGTGCCGATTCAAAAATTGTAACTACCGATCTGGTTAGTCCTAAGCAGTAAGGTGGTTCTATATTTTTACAAGATACGTTTCGGAGTTTCAAGGAAAGACTTGAAGTATTTATGTGCTCTTAGTAAGCTTTACGTTTAACCATCTGAGACTTACTGTCAAGTAGGATCGTTGTTGAGCATTGACTGAGGACGATAATAAATTAGTTTAAACGCGAAAAAATTCGTTTTATACTTATGTGAAACTTGTGAAAGTTATAATCTATTAACAGTTTTAAAGTTATTAGAACTTTACGGAGAAATCGGAAAGAAAGTATCGGTAAGGTTATTTTTTTAGATAGATATATAAATATTTATAACAAGATTTTAACACGTCTCTGTTTACCGCAAGCATTTTAAGTGACTCCCAATCCGCTCAAATCCTCTGTCTCCTATTCAATATTCTCCACAACTCTACTGATAAAAATCGTTTTACTTTTGTCAATTCTCCAGATGTACCATATAGATCAAGTACTAGAATACTGTTAAAATTACCATCTTTCAATACAATCTCTATTCTCATTCTTTTTTTTGTTAACACAGAACGCGATGGTGGAATTCACTGTCCTCTAGGATTCGTGATGCTACGGTTAAAACTAAGACTGGCTGCTGTACCCGAAATTTAGTCTTATGTCTTCGGAGTTATGTATATGAAGATTAAAAATTCAGTAAAATCAGCTACAATTCGAAAGTGCAGTATTGTACATATTGTATTATTTTGACATGAAACTCCACAAAACGAAAATCCACTATGGTGAAGTCTTTAAAAATAACAATCAATCCGGTCTGAGCGTGGCGCACTATAATGTTTCTTCTTTGTAAAATAACTTTACGACACATAACATTCGACTTTTAAAACAAATTATACATAATAAAACTATGATCGTAACATACCACGAATCTCAGAAACAGAGTTCACATATTTTAATTTAAAAAAGTTTTATTATGTTCACATAATTTTTTAGACAGTTGGAGGAATGAAATTTATTCAGATTAAGAAAGTAAAACATTTCATTTTAATCACAATGGCATTCAAGTAAAAATAAGTAGATAATAAATAAATAAGAAGATAAGAAAGTATGAGAAAAAATTAAACTAGGAATGAATCAAATGTTAAGAACTTGTTCCCATTTAGAAAAAAACAATAACCGTATTTAATGAAATGGACATCTTGTGCCTCAGTCAATTTAAATTATATCTAGGACTTATTCGCAAAGAAATAAAGAAGCCTCCATCTTACGTATTTTTTGTGGAAACATGGCAACACCTGCGCCAGAGCGATCGCTGCGGTAGGTCCCGATCAAGACGTCAAATCTCAAGGCTGAATGCGACCTCTCCTTTGCCTTGCCTTTCGATACACATTGCCCAACCGAACCACAATAATCACACCGTTACAACGGCATAATTAGAGGTTTGACCGGTTCAAAATCGAATTATCTACGGAACTAAAGTCATATTGAGTCATTACAATATAATTAAGTTCAATATTTATTAAGGCTACTGTATATTTAAAGAAAAACCAGTATATTTACATTGATATTAAGTTCTTACGGTATTGCATCCTTTATAAATTGAAATAAGTTTTTTTTTCGATTATTGCGTAATAATGAGGTGTGAAAGTTCGATATAGTGACTGATTTTCATGGATACTCAATCTTGTCGACAGCTGCACTCGGAAGAATGTCCAATGTAGAGATCCGACTATCTCCGTTCCCTGATAGGGTAACGATAAGGAAAGTAATTGATTATTTTTTTAATTTAAAATGCGTGCGTTTAAGCATACTTTATCAAGCATAAATACAAGATTTTAGCGGAACATGGTACATACTTTGTCACTTTGTTTTCTTTTGCATTAATCATATTGATGAATCATTTCGTAACTGAATAGTATCTTAAAAGCTACCTATGACTGGTTGACTGGTCATCTCCATTGAAATGTCAAGCAATGGGTGCGTTTGGCAGAAGAAAGCGCTAGCAAGCGCTTGTAAGCAAAATGGCGATCGTAAGCGGTAAGCGCTGTCAAATCGTAAGTACCTATTTTCCTCTAGGACACGATGTTAGTTTTAACCGGGGAACCTAACCTAATTTATATATATGTTTGTGAAGTATTCATATTAAAAACTTACCATTCATCATGAATTTTTAATAACATGTATATCTCTATTCATGTCATTATATTACTTAAAACTAATATTGCAAAAAAACAACTTATAAACTCTACTTCAAAACCATTGAGCTATTCTGTACTACGTACTAGAGGCGACACTGCATTCAGCTACTCTGTTCCACTCAACTGCGGTGCATACACCGCACTTTAATCAGTCACTCGCTAGGCGCTTGTGGAGTTGTCACGTGTTGTTTTGATTTAAAAAAAATCTCTTGATAAAAATATGCCGTCATGTGTACTTAGATATTGCACAAATAATTCAAGAAATGTCGGTAAAAACCAAGGAATTACTTTTCATCGGTTAATAAGATACTTAATCAATAAAAAAATATTATAGATTAATAATAAAACAAATTATTCCTAAGACGCCATTTCGTGTCGTGGAATATAGATTATGAAATTAATATGTTCAGATGCGACATTTCTGTAGGTAGGTACTTAAGTATAGGACGAATATATTATAAACTTTTTTTGGTAGAAACATATAAGTACATAATAATTATAATAATTAAGCAAAATTTTTCATGTTTAAATTTGTTTATTGTTCTTTTATTTTATTTTTAGGTTTCCACATCAAAGTCAAAATGGTATAAATTCGTCCATTTTTAAAACTCGCGTGCCCGGATTTATGAACGACTCTTATTCTAATTTAAATAAATATATTTGTAATTTAAGTGTTATGTTCATAAGTTTTGTTAAACATACATTTAGTATGTTTTTTTTAATATTTGACATAGATACCTTTTAAAATATTCAGATAAAAATATCACTAAAATGTAATTGTGATATAATATTATGTAATATTATATTAAATAAGCAAATATTATATACATAATAAATGACAAAATTTAAATATTATTCTCGATATAATTTACCTATTTAACAATACAACTACTATTACCTACGGATTATCCTAGCTATGTTTATTCTATGATAAAAAACCAACCGCGCGAACACAGAGTAGCGCACATTTTTTGTTTGAGATAGCCGTTCTAGTACGTAAGTACATATTACTTCAATGTTCAAAACAAACAAATTAAATAAGCAAAATTGCGGATTGTTTCAGCGCTACTGAAGTAGCAATCGTGTCCTGGCCGAAAACTATTTTAGCGCTAGTAAGCGCTTACTAGCGCTTTTTTCTGCCAAACGCACCCAATGTTTGCATGTAGATCGAGAGTGCTATAAAGCTATAAAGTTTTTTTACAACTGAAGGGGCCCTTGTATCTTAGTTATATAAATAAATAAAATATATAATAATATAAAATAATATCTATATAAATAAATTAAATTGAAATATCCGTTTGTAATGTCAAAATAAAAGTTTTTTACTAAATGCATATGAGAGCATATACGGTACTTACAACAAAAATTTTTTTTGAAATTTTTGTCTGTCTATTTGTTACGGGACTTTGACTGGTAGGTAACTGATGTTGTAAGCAGTAACTGAGTTTACTTTTATTTTAGAAAATGAAATCCAATCGTAATGAATTCTCGCGGACGATGTCGCGGGGAAAAGCTGGTCATTTATATTAAAAACTACATAATCACTTTAGTAAAAGCTCTTTAAAGGCGACGTTCATATTAGGACGCATGTAAGAGATAATAAATTGAAAATATGTTTTCTAATGCCAATAACGTTAAGAATATAATAATAATAATAATGTTCTCTAGACCATTTCGGCCACGGCGGCCTGCCTCAACGAAGGCTAGCCCTCGGCGCAGGACAGGATTATAGTACCCAAGTATATGCGCTAGCACAGGTGCACTCTCTATTCCCTCACTCTCATAATTCGATGGGACGGTAAACCGACACGACCGAAGAAAGATCAATCGCAGGACCAACAGATTTACGTTCTTTCTGAGGCACGGGGGTGAGACACCGCCAACTTCCTGACTCCGGGCAACTACTGAGAATTACTTGACGGAAAAACTCAATAATTAATTTTTTGGCCCGACCCGGGATTCGAACCCAGGACCTCATGATTAGCAGTCGCACTACTACAACCACTAGACCAAGGAGGCTGTCAAAGAATAATAGAAAGAAGAATATAAAATAGGTATACCAATTCATAATTAAGAATGTTTTACACTATAACGTTTTGTAATAAGTCATACACTCATAAGTTTACCGCATAAGGCCTCAAATGCTAAAGTTTTATGTAAGCTTTATTAATAGACACATTATGAGTTCACACTGTAATTTGGAAACAGTAGATATGGGGTCATCAACCGCCACCATCACTCGATGGTGTTGCATCGCATCCGACAAATCTGACGTCTAAATTAGATTTTATTACTAAGCGTCTGTGTACTCTTAAAAACCAATTTAGTGCGACACCCCTTAATTCATTCAATATAACCCGAACACGTCTGCAAAAAGCTCTCAGAAAACTGGACGTGTACCTCAATTGAGAGAGAGACGCGGCTACAAACAACCGGTCGTGAAAATTTATTGTGACACGCTCGACCTTTGATTGTTCTAGCTTCGTTGTGAGAAATTGAATGGCTGTAATTTAAATACTCCATTTTCACAGTAACTACACTTAGTAGTGGGTAAAAAAACGTTCAAACTTGCCTTGACTTTGATAACGGTATATCACTGAACTTTTATATCACATTTATTTTTATTTGTTTGTTCTCTTGAGTAGACCTATAATTTATTTACATATAAAAGAAGTTTTTAATTAAATAAATAACAAAAAAGGGCTTTAGCACTTTCATATTTACATACACCGTGAATAAATACACACAAAAGTGTAAATCTCATAAGCTTTTGTTTTGTTTCATGCAAACAAACGATACAGCTGTACAATCAGAACGCGCGTGTACTTCAAAGATTTACCGTTTTTGTACGACAATTGACAGTAATTAAAGGCGATATCAGAGATCTAAGATGATTTTTAAATATCTTTTATTCATCGCTTCTTTAACGTCGTATTGCTCAATTCCGTTACTTCGTAGACTTCCTCAATTACCCTTCGATTATGAAGTTACATCAAAATTTCCCCATTCCTTTCAATATGGGCGTGAATTCACGTACTCAAGGTGACATATACAAACAAACACCAAAATCAGGTTGTTGATAGTTTCGTCTTTTAAGTTACCGTTAAGCCGATACATACTCGGTATGTCATTCGAGAAAACCTTGCCATTTTCCGTTAACACCTCCATTTCAAAAGCATTCATATATTTACAATCAGAAGATTCAATAGTCCACGTTACCTCTATAAAGAAAAATTAAAATTCTTACTCTGTTTCCATTTCTACTAATACATACCTCGTATTAATAGAAATGGAAACAGAATCTTTTTTATTCAATATAAATTATAAATAATACTTATATAAAGTCACTTTTTTAATTTACCACTGGTTCGAAAAAAATATTCTGTCCTGGGAAAAACCAGCACGAAACCCATCGGTACTTTAAAAAAAAAACAGTTTACAATCATGTTTGCTTACACAATTAACAACATAAAACAAATTAGATAGAGCTTGGTAGCGATCGCCTTTCCCAAGTGTTATTATCATCCATAAATCTTCTGTGATAATATTTATCCAGACTGACTATAGCTAAATCATAGCGCCATTAACCATGACAACAATGCAAACTACTCATTTTACACAAACAAAAAAATAACGGTCTAAGCTCATCTGTTTCTTGTTTAAAAATTTTGGCATACATAACACTTTCGAAATTAAATATTTTAATAAAAAGTGTTTTGTAGAAATTATTAAAAATTAGTAAATATTTTAATAATTTCTACAAAACAGCTTCAGAAGTCGGTGCTAAGGTAGTGTATATAGAGAATTTACCGGCGACTGCAAAAGCTGTTTTGAGGTTTTTTAAAGTAGTTCTTTAAAGTTTTACTTTTCATTAAAAAAATAATTTTGACCCTTTTCATTGTTGTAAGGAATATCGCAAACTTTAACTTACATCCCATATTTCCCCAGATTTTGGGGTGGAAATTTTCCTCCAAATTTATACGGGACCGGATCAATTGATGAAAACATATAAAAATATTTAATAACAAGTGGTAAAATTAAAAATATATTGAAGTCGGTTGTATAAAACAACCGACTTCAATATAAATAAAAAGATAACATCATCAGTATATAATATATATTGGAAGTCAATTAAAGACGCATTATTAAGGATAACTCATTATTAAGGATAACTGGTCAGATCTTGATCATATGAGAATACATGAAAATCATTAGCTTTCAAATTCCGATTTCAAAAATGGGTTTTGGAATAATCTAAAAATATGGAAGACTAAATAAGTATTACAGTAATTAAAAATAGAATAATATTAAAATTTAACCATGTATTTCCTTATAAAAGTATTGGATGTTTTTTAAACTGCATGAGAAGTTTCGATGGTTGCTGTCTATGGTTTGACAGTTGAGAATGTCAAACGGTGTAGACCTTTCTGTTCAGGAAGGTTTGGCATATGGCATATAGAGTGTAGAAGTAGTTTGGCAATTTATCATGAATCGTTTAACGCCAGAACAACGCTTACAAATTGTGGAAATTTACTTTAAAAAAAAATCTGTTCGCAAAGTTCATAGAGCACTTCGTCCATTTTACGATCAACATAATCGATCTAGTAAGCAAACAATTCATGAAATTATTGATCATTTTCACACCTGTAGAAATACTCCCTAAATTATCGTAATAAAAATAGCCTTATTTACTCCTAATTTAAACTTTTTTAAAGAACAACATCATTGCAAGTTTTGAATATCATTTCATGATATTTTTTATAGAAACTTTAACTTCAATCCCCATAAAATTCCCATGCAGTCGCATGCGTCCGCCAAATCCCGAACGGTCGCATGCGACCGCAACCGCAACCCGCCCACAGCACTTTAAACCATTAAAACTTATATTGAGAGACTACTTTTCTATGAAGAAGTTTGACATTATAGAATCGTTACAAATTCTCTATCCTGTGGTCTAAACAAAAGTCAGTTAATCTATGTATTTTTATTTTTATTCTAATGTCAATTTACGACATATTAAATCATAAAACACAGCCCTTTAAACCATAAAAACTTATATTTATAGACTACTTTTCTATAAAGTTTGTCATTATAGAATCTATACAAAATTCTTTCCTGTGGTCTAAACAAATCATTCCATTAATTTCTGTCTTGTATTATTATTTAAAGTTCTCAAGCTCTTATAAAAACATCCTTTATGATTGTAAGCTTACACCACTATTACCATACTCGCAGTTCATACAAACAATTGCTCAAGTTGACTTAAAACCGACTTTTCTTTACTCTAAATTTGGAGGATTTCATCCTGTCGTGTCAACATAAGATAAGTCATCATCAGATCCGTTACTTTCAAAAGCGTCATCGATAAGGGATTCCAAAAAAAAACATAAGAGCTAACAAAAGTGATGGCAGTACAAACTAGTGATGCAACGAATACTAATTTTACGAATACTAATACGAATATCAAACGTACTATTCGGCGAACACGAATACGAATATCTCGCCATGGTAATAAATAACTAATTCACTTGATGATTTTTATTGTTCTAATAATTAGAATTTACAATAGGCAAATTTTTATATAAAAACATAAAATTTGTAGATTTTTAGGTTTTAAGCGATTTCTATTTTCTCGTTTACGAGAAGACATTTCAAATTCAACTTCTTTCTTTCACTTCGCAGTAACCTCACAAAACATTTAAATTAAACAATACTCTCTTGCTTGACCTGTGCTTTCATTCGACTGTCAAATGAAATGAATGAACGCCGACGACGCGACGCGCGTTTTCCAAGTCTGCCAGTAATAATAATAGTTGCGTACAAAAATATTAGTTTTTAAATATTCGTGATTAGTATTCGCCGAATAAGAATATTCGGTAAATGTCTACTATTCAGCGAATACGAAAATTCGTATTCGTATTCGTTGCATCACTACTACAAACAAGTAACACACGTCTGCTATAGCGATCGCTAAACCGCCGATGGTGTTTACAACCGATCGTCTCTTTTACAACAGGGGCACATTTTCATGTTTTCGTTTCTTTCCTTGAGTGTATTAAGAAAAACTTTATCGTTGCTATACCGATTTCTGCTGTTATAAGTAGGCGATTCAAAAACAAGCACTCAAAAACAAGCACACGGACATATATGAGAACGGAGGGCTCTAGCCGTTCGGTATGTATGCTGGTTTCCGCGATGCAGTCCTGAGGCAAAGCTGACCCTGTTTAGAGCATATTATCAATGTTTCTACACTTGACTACCTCTTTGGTCTAGTAGTTGTAGTAGTGCGACTACTAATCATGAGGTACTGAGTACGAATCTCGGGTTAGGCCAAAAAATCGATTATTGACTTTTTCCGTCAAGAAATTCTCAATAGCTGCCCCGAGTCAGCCAGTTGGCGGTGTCTCACCCCTGTGCCTCGGAAAGCACGTAAAGCCATTGGTCCTGCGCCTGATCTCTCTCCGGTCGTGTCGGTTTACCGTCCCATCGGACTATTAGAGTGAGAGAATAGGGAGTCCTGTGCTTGCGCATATACTTGGGCACTATATAATCCTGTCCTACGCCGATGGCTAGTCTCCGTTGAGGCTGGCCGCCGTAACCGAAGTTCGGTCTGGAGGACATTATTACTTGTCAACTTTGGTTGGATAGAACTAAAAATGCACGTAGCAGCATTACAGTGCAGTATAATAACACGTACTGCGTTCTTATGAAACTGACTAAATACTGGCAGTGCGTTGAGCATGTTTGCCGACGCCATGGTGCCCGATTACTTCGCGGTTACTAGTCTTGCCCTGTTCGGGTTAAGCCTGCAATCCGCGGCGCTTCAGTTATCTCCTTGGCCACTACACCAGCGTTTTACAATTTGTTATAGGAAAAGATATTTTTTTTAATATCTTACATTCATAAGCTCCTTTCCCTCTTCAGTCGAAGTTAGCGCAATGAGCGCATGTTCGCAGGGTTTGGGGCAGACGCTGGTGGGTTCGGACAACACGTCGCTGCATAAGTACATATAGTTGTTCAGCGCGTAACCGCACCCCGTGCGGTAGGCGCATCGAGTTCGAGCCTCGGTACATGGCGTTGCACAAGCCCGCAGTGAAGCCACCGCGAGAACAGCGGCTACCAGCCACATCACCTGAAACAACATAAAAGGATTAACAAAATTATTCTATACCACTACATGAATGAGTCCAGGTAGCAAGGGCTAAGCGCTCGCCGTAGTTTCACATTATACGAACAACCTGGGTTCGATCCCCGCTAGCATTGATGAAATTATTAATTGCAATTTTAAGCGGTGATTTACCGGGTGCTCGGCGGTGACCCAAAAACTTTCTCAGAAAACCTACATATTAGGGTTCCAAAGCCGCGCATTAATCATAATTCATAACCCTCTCAAAAAAAAAAAAAATTAAAGCCCACAAAAGAAAAAAAAAGTAAATATGTGTTTGTAAATATATGATACGAGGTGTACGCCAGCAGTGGGACATATATGGTTTATCAGTTTTAAATAGAAGAACGTATTAATGAAGCAATGAGCTGGTGGATATTGGGATCCCAGGTACATTCACACAGTAGATTGAGATGCGGCCAAAGTCTCATACATTTATATTAATATAATATTATATGATAATATATAAATTAGGCACTATTGTTCTTTAAATATCTTGATTGGAATGACAGCTGTCATTCTGATGTGACTAGTGCTGGGAACATTAAATCGATATATCGATAAAGTAGTCATAAATATTAATAAAAATATGCACCCAATACTCATTTTAACTTCTTCGTCTTATTTTTTGTGATAATGAATTAATACTAACTGGTTTAATTTTAAGCCGAATCCATGTGTTATGCACATTTTTAAGTGAAGAACTGCCGCCAAGAATATTGTTCACTCGCCAAAAAAGTTACGTTTTCCAATATTAATCAAATTACTCGTCACGTTGGACGCTACTACAAAGTTATGCCGTCACTTTTGATGACAGCTGTCTGTTTCTAATAAAGTTATATTTAAAGAACTATAAGTAATATGGATTTTATTAAGTACCGCTAGCGAGAATAATAAATTCGTTTTATTTCATATATACATAAACATGACAGGTTTACCTGATGGTAAGGGCATAGACATCTACATTTATCTTCGATTAAGAATCAAAATGCAGATGCATTGTCACCCCTGAGGACTAAGATAGCGTTTCCAATAAAAAAGTCTCCGGATCTCTACACTCACCATACGAAACATCATTACTCTGCTGTTTCACGTTAGTACTCTGTGAGATGATATTAGAACATACCATAAAATAGCCGTATAGTTAGTTGTTTTTATCGTCAAACAATCTCTATGCATTGATTCGTTCAAGCCATTTAATGATATTATGGTCAGCAGTTATAGCACATGAGTAAAGATACCGACCATTACTCTGTATTCTTACTCTCGACCTTTACTCTCATTACTCTGTCTAAGTTTGTATAAAAATGTTTATTATAATATTACGGAATTTATGGATGATAATAACCTCTGGGAATGAGGTGATCGCTAACAAGCTAATTCTAATTTGTTTTGTGTTAACTAATTGTTTAACATAATATATATATGATTGGTAGCTGTTTATTTTTTGTTTTAAAGTCCCGTTGGGTTTCTTGCCGGTTCTTCCCACGACAGAAATATTTTCCCGAGCCACTGGTAATTAAACAAAAGAGTGACTTTCAATAAATATTATTTATAATCTATATGAATAAAAAAATTCTGTTTCTGTGGTTATATTATGTTCTAATAAGTCATAAAATGCCACCATTTCACCAATTGTCGGACAACTACTCATATGATATACGATAAATTCTACGATCTGGCTACGTAATATATGTATTATACTTAACCTACCCGTATTGATTGCAAAATTTCAGAGATTTAGTTTTTAGTTTAGTATAATATTATCCGAGACATCCTTTTCGACGACCCTTTGTCGTGTTTTATTAAAAATCCTTAAATTCGAAAAAAAAATGTGGGGCACTCACAGGCAAAAAAAAACATCCTATTTCTCAATTTGGACCAAACTGCACTCGGTGTGCAAATTTGATTAAAATCAGTTAAGTAGTTCAGGAGTCTATCACGAACAAACAACGTGATACCTAATTTATATATATTAAGATATACATATTATAACATTGTCATTGAAATCTCCACTTTGAAATAACTCTTAATTAATACTTTTAATTGCTATGAGCGGCAGAATCAAAAAAAGCTAATAAAGGCTGTTATAACTTATAACATCTATAATGTAACAATATACTCGTACAAGGGAAAAAAACATCTGTTAGTTTGTTAAACATCACTCTTAAGTAAGGTTTTGCCCTAGTTATGCAAATTTGCTTTAAGTGACTATCATTACTAAACTTGCAAAGTTATTTATATTTAACATTTATCAACCGAGTTCTAAATCCAAAAAGCAATCAGTTCACGCAGGTCAAATGATCTCCGCTTAGGCTGAATTGGAAGCTAGCGTGCCGGGTGACGATATACTCTAATCTATTTATCTTCGGAGTTTTTAGAGACTTGACTCATAATACTAATTTTCGTACCATCTGTATGCCGATATATGGAAAATATATACTACTTACAAGCTGTAACCCCTGCTAATTAACTGTATCAGATTTTATTTTTTGGTCTACTATCTGCTGAAGTAGAGCCATGCTGCAGTTATATTAGTAGTATAGTTGTAGCACGAATGGGTCGGCTCGACCGGGGAAGGACCACGCTCTCACAGAATACCAGCGTAAAATAGTAGCTTAATGCTGCTGTGTTTCGTTTGGTGAGTGTAGAGAACCGGAAACCTTTTTTACTAGAAACGAGTCATTCCATCTTAGTCCTCACGGGTGACAAACGCATCTGCATTTTGATTCGTAATCGAGGATAGATGTAGATGTCTATGGGCACAGCAGCCACTTACCATCAGGTGAACTGTGTGCTCGTTTGTCACCCTATCCTATAAAAAAAATATTACCTATAGATATAGATCTCAGCTTAACTGGTTCAGCATAAGGCAATTGCGCAACTCTAGATTATAATTTATAACTTGTCCTTTTCTCTATTCTAAATGATCCACATTCGCCTTCCTACCTTGAGGAGGAGGTTTGGCAACTGCAATTTTTTCCGGATGTTATCAGGAAGATGCTGCTATCTCCTGTTTCAGTTTCTTTCCGACATCTCTCATCCATCCACGAGATGTTATGAGGTAAGTAGTGGATATTTATACGCTTCCACTGGAGAACACGATATAAGGATTTTTGTAGGCGTTCATAGATGTATTTATTTTATAATTTGGTACGCGTATGTGTCTATTAGTTATATTTAAATAAAGGATATGCATCAATGTAGATAAAGGATAGTAGGTATAGGTTTACATTTAATTTATTTATAGTAATATTATACCAAAATATATATGTGGTTGCAATATGTTTTACAACAGAATATTATGATTTTTTACCTTATATGTATATTTAATTTAGATACTAAACTTTTTTTAAATTGCTCTACAAATTCTCACCACTCTAAGAACTGACTTGTAGAAAATACCATAGACATTAAGTCCGCCCTTTTATCCTTTTCTATATAATAAAGATTTAAGTAAATAGATAAATAATATGTTCACGCATATACGATGATGAGCCAGAGTTTCAAAATCAAATAAAATGTAACGTTGACGCAAATCAAGATATTTTTACGATAAAAACTCACAATAGATTTACAACTCTGCCTACCTAGCTTTATAAATTTTTAAAAATGAATAATAGATTTAAAGAAATCCCAATAGGCTTATATACACCAACAAAACATGATATAGAAAAAAATTTGAAAAATATATTTTCAATTTCGGAAACCAGAGCAAGGTATAACTCTGCCTATCAAAATTTGTGTCATGAATATCGAAATATTTAAACAATATTAACGACGTCATATTTTAAATGAATCTCAACGCAGTGTTCTAGTCGCGAAGCCTAGCACTATCTGATTCTACATAATTACGCCACATGCAAACACGGCTTGACTTGACACGAGAGTAGCATCCCGGGCCGATCCCGGGTAAGTAGGTAATCCTCCGGACGACATCCCGTCTGCGCTCGTTCTCGGAAGTCGGCCGCAGCCTGCATTCGGTAAACAAACAAAAGCTCCTAACGTCCACTCGTCACTCGCTACCAGCTTACACATATACCGTAACATTATAATAGGGGTACATCGATATTTAAAAAGCTCTGATTGATAACTATTAATACGAGTGATAAGTTTTTCTTTGAAAAAATATTAATTATTAATTATTATGTGGGGTATCTATATAGTTTTCTCATCTGGTTGGGTTCTATAAATATATAATTATAAATTAAAATGCAAAGGTAAATATACATAAATATAATTAAAATAAAATAAATACATAAATAAATTCGGGTTCGATCCCCGCCGGCACCAATGAAATTGTTAATTGCAATTTTAAGTGCTGATTTACCACGTGCTCGGCGGTGAAGGAAAACATCGTGAGGAAACCTGCATGTCTGAGGAATAAGAAAAAAAAATATTTCGAAGACATGTGAAGTTCGTCAACACGCATTTGGGCAGCGCGGCGGACACTTCCTTGCCCTAAACCCTCTCAGAAATGAGGGGAGGCCTGAGCCCAGCAGTGGGACTTATATAGGCTGTAACTTTACTTTACTTTACTTACATAAATAAATAAAAGCCCAACCAGATGGAAGCCCTCGGCAGGGGAGACCAAACGGCCGAGGGTTAGGAGGAAAGGGAAAGAAACCGGCGGACGATGCGGGCGGTATCGAGGAGCACCGCCTTCTGCATTTGACCCCGGAGCGGTCCATCACGGAGTCCCAGTCGCCTCAGATAACCCGGAATGGTAATGTCGACCAAAAATATCCTTGACTGTGCCCGGTCCATCAGCACAATATCAGGCTTATTCGCAAGAATAGTCCTGTCCGTGATGATGGCCCGGTCCCAGTAGAGCCTGGCGCAATCATTTTCGAGCACGGCTTCCGGCAAGTACTTGTAATACGGCAATTTCCGATCCACAAGACCGTATTTCAGAGCGAGCTCCTGGTGTAGAATTCTGGCTACTAGGTTGTGCCTGTGCAAGTACTCAGAGTTAGAAAGCGCCGAACAACCGGAGATGACATGTCTAAGTGACTCACCGGGATGGCGACAAGCTCGACAGACGTCGACAGTGCCATCCTTTAGGATGTATCTCCGATAGTTGTTGGTCTTAATAACCTGATCCTGTATTACACAGACAAAACCCTCGGTTTCCCCGAAGAGGTCACCGAAACGTAGCCAGTTGAGGCAGGCGGTGTATCTACGTGAGGCTCATGTAGAGCCCTGTAGTACCTCCCGTGGAGCTCCTTCTCCTTCCATACGGTCTCCCGGTCGGAAATGCTCTGTACTGCCGGGTCTTGCCATTGCTCGTTGGCTAAGGATAGAGGGGTAAGTCCTTTATCACTAGAAATGACATCATTATATAATGGATCATCCGATCTCGCCCGGAAGTAATCATGGAGTCTGCACACTTCGCGATTATGCATAGTGAGCGCGCTCAAGAAGCCACGCCCACCATGCTTTCGCGGCAAGTACAGCTTCATTACCGACGATCTCGGATGATGCATCCTATGGGACGTCATTGTAGTGCGGACTTTTCTATCCAGGGCGTTTAGTTCAGTCTGACTCCACCTGAGTATGCCAAAGGTATACATGAGGACAAGCATGACCCAGCCGTTATATGCGTGTGTCTTATTCACACCGGACAAAAAGCTGTTAAGCACTTTGGTCAAGCGTGCATAAAACACGTCGCAAACTGACTGTTTCATACCAGCCTCATCGATAAGGGAAAAACTAACATTTGTCCCAGCAAACGCCATCCTGACGGTGCGCGCAATCCTTGGCCTGGTATTGCCTGACCTGAAGCATATCAGTCTGCCGATGAGGGCCCTAGTCTTTGCGATACGTTCTTCAATTCTTGTTCTCCAGGCTGGGATAGCACAACTTTGTCCAGTAGTGCGTCCAGCCGTGGAAAGTTTGGCGCCTATAATACGGCAGACTGCCAGTTCGGCGCCAAAAAGAATAGAGTCCGTCTCGCAAAGGTCCCGGCTGGCTTCCAAATAGGTCACCAGCATTGGGTTCAGAGCCCTCACGACAGCCTGATTCCGCTTGCTGAGGGCTATGCGGGGAAGTCGCGGTCGATTTTCGAGAGGCGTACTGCGCGTTAATATTAATATTATTATTACATTTGTTATGAACGTGGATAAGACCTGTTTAAATGAATGTAGCATTACTGTTACGTTTTTATCATAGGTTGAGTATATCATAAATCCTATTATAAAATTAAAACTACCTCTGAGTCATTCAAACTAATTATTAACTCTTATCTTATAATTTAAAATCGTTTTAAGGTTTTGAAACTTAACTACACTGTTACTAATTGTATGTGGTCTCATATATTTTCCTTTATTGGCAAATAAGCGCACGTGTGACTGACATAAAAGTAGCACTTTAAAATTTTTTCATAAACTATTCACAAGCCTTAGAAAAGCTAACAATGTTATTTTTAAATCATTAGGTATTTATTTATAAGAAATAAACACCACAGGAACAAATTAAAATATATATTTTTACATTCGTTTAATTTTTTTTACATAATGATTTCTTATGTTTACGCGAACACTACACATCGATTAAAACTACTTTTACGGATTTTATCGCGTTTAATTTACTTGAGGGAAAACTGCAGTTTATGATCATATCCTAGACGGCCCCCACCATTACATCAGATTTGATAGACCACAAATCCTCGCTAAAGAACACCGATTCCTGTCAAGGATGATACGTAAGGCTATTAAAATTAAAAAAAAACACCCTAATTTCAATAAAGAAGAAGGCTTAGTACTACCACCTGCTTGGGATCCTGTAAGTAATAAAATTAAAATTAAACCCAAGAATAGCACTGCAAGACTTCCAGACACATTAAGTTCATTTTGCGTAGATCGGACCATAAATAATAAAAAGTTGAAAGTACTCCGGGTTAACACTGACATCAGGACGTCAGTCACCTCAGTCCTCCGTGACCATGGGTGCTGGCAAGCACCCGAAACGTCGGAAATTAAAAATCAAGTAATTTAAACTCCGAAAATAAAATCCGTAAAAGTAATTTTAATCAACAGTTAGGTTTTATTTAATGAATTCATTTGATGAATAATTTTGAAATGAAGATTGATAATTCAACTCTTACGTAAATTTATTTGATGGATAACTTTGAAATGAAGAGTGATAATTCAACTCTTACGTGAAAAAAAATTTACTGCTAATTCATTTTATTTTTGTTTATTCAAAAATAATTTTAAAGTTAAAACGAATTTCGTATTCTCAATAAACAGTTGACAGCCCTATCAGATAAAGACGTAAAAAAGGTCGATGCCCGACAGAGTCACGGATGGTAAAAGAAATAAGTGACAACTTAAGATGTCCAACTCGCCCCGACCACTTCAAGTGCTAGTGTTACATTACAAACGTTGCTTGTTGCAATAAACGAACTTAACATTTATTGCATAAGCAATAAGAGCTAATGAAGTTACGAGTACCTAGATGAGCAATATAACATACGTGCACGTCTGTTTTGTTTGATAATTAAGTCACCTCAAAAACCAAAACAAGTAAACGTAAAGGTTATGTTATATTCCTTTAAAAACATATTGCTTCACATGGTTTATTTCTGGATCTCGACAACGGCGCCACATACGGGGTCCAAATGTGAATATAAACTATCAAGGGTCCCTTTGAAGTACACAAAAAAAAATCCTTCAAAATCGGTTGGATGGTTTCAAAGTCTATAACGGACATGGGTAGAATTTTTTTTGTGTTTTATATCATTACAGCCCTTCACAAGTCCACTGCTGAACATAGGCCTCCCCCACGTAATGCCACAAAGCACGGTCCTGAGCCACCTGCATCCATCGACTTCCTGCACGTCTTACCAGGTCGTCACTCCATCGAATGAGGGGACGCCCTATATTTCACCTGCCGGTACGAGGCTGCCACTCGAGAACCTTTTTTTCCCATCAGTAGTCGGTTCTTCGAGCTATATGTTTTATATATATAGATTTAATTTACACATCATTTTATTCCATGATCTAAAATTTTACTAAAAGATAACAATGAGTGCGTAATACGTATTACACGTATTCATTAATATTCTCTATATAAAAATCAATTGCTGTTCATTGGTCCCGCTAAAACTCAAAAACGGCTCGACCGATTTAGATTTTTTTTTGGTATGTGGTTGAGTGAGTCTTTGGATAGTTCAGTTGTACGATTAGACCCGGTAGATGGGGCTGTAGCTGAATTCAAGATCCAGAAATCACCCGTGCGAAGCCGGGGCGTTTTTTTTTTTTAATTTAATAAAACTTACAGCTAGTTAATAAATAAAAAATATAAATATTCATTGCTATAATTTATTTGTTTCAAAGTTATTGTTTATTTATTAATAATTGTTTACTTATTAATAAAGTATTTTTAATATTAAGCTACGTTACATATAAAAATTAGAATATAAATAAATTTTCACATATGTATATTATAATTATTACGTCTAAAAATTGTATTTATACGTATTTAACATAGTGTACAATTTACCTACTCACGATCACGAAATATATACACATGTCGACACAATCTCGTCAGATTTATATTAGTAATTTATAACTAACTAAATAATATAATTAGGTATATTTATATTAATTATACTAAAATAAGATTTTCTGTTTTAGGTAATATTTATAATCTGTGAAAGTATCTACGTTAACCATATAATGTTGATGTAAGTCCACTGTCCCATATCGTTCCGAGTATGTCGTAAGAGGCGAACAAAGAAATCAATCCTGGAAATGAGCACATTTCTAATAACAAAACTAAAAAAATAAGAAACCGCGGTTGGGAACCCGTCTGAAAAACGTGGCAACTGTGGTGATGATGTGATGTTATGAAGATCTATATTTAGCTGTGGGCTATTGGTAGGCTGTAATGTTAACAATAAATGCACCACAAATGTAAATAACGCATCTACAACGATTTTTTCACGCCTGAGGGTCGCCTTTATTAATACGGAAACTGAATAAACTAAATTTTACTGATTTTATCGCTTTTAATTTAACCTTTTTTAATTATCTACATTTCGTTTCGGGTAAAAGAGTAAAATTAAAATATATTTGAGTAAAATACGTAAAATTAAATAAAATTATTTAGTATTTGCATAAACTTATGAAATGACAGTGTGAAAACTGCTTAAACGAACCATAAACTTTGCTAAACATTATTTCCGTCTGAAAAAAGATCTGAGTTATCCTCAAGTCGCACCTAAAGAAGTTTTACTTAAAAGTTTTTTTTTTATAGAAGAGGGGGCAAACGAGCATGCGACTCACCTGATGTTAAGTGACTACCGCCGCCCATCATCAACCGCAACACAAGTAATCACACTCAGCACATAACTTACGTAAAAAATGTCTCATCATTGTCAAAGTTTCTTGTCGCATAAAATATTAAATCACTAAAATAATTTTTCTTCATTCCAGTGTAAATACTAACGGCACGCTAACACAACTTTTAAATTGAGATCCGAGAAAGGTATCATATACTGTGACAATTTTACAGCCGAGTGGGGTGCGAGCTATTAGTGAGTAGGTGTAAAAAGCGTCAGTAATTGCTAACAGAAGGTCAACACCGCGCCTAGCTAACGAAAGACGTTGACATTGACTACTGTTTAATGAAAATGGAATACCTTTAAACGAGCAATTCTTGTATATATATAATCGGAATCTCGGAAACGGCTCCAACGATTTTCATAAAATTTAGTATCCTGGGGGTTTCGGGGGCTAAATCAATCTAGCTAGGATTCACTTTTAGAAAATGTCGTTTTGTCCATGTTTGCAAGCAATGAAAAACTGCTTCAATTTATGAAGGTAAATTTTGGCAAGGTGTTAATGATCATAGTAGCTCAAATGGGATATGGAGCGGTACCGAAATTGTAGTAACTAGGTTCGAATCCTGTCTTCGGTTCGACTTTTTTATTTTTTTAAAAACACGAAAATTTAAATTAAACTAATTAGAATCATGATTTTTTATTCAAAACCAGATCAGTTTTTTCTATTATGTCGGTAAGTTCAAAAAACTTTTCTTTATACACTCACCGGCACGGAAACTTGGCCAAGCGGTTATCTCGCGATAGCAAAAGCTTTAAGTGTTTCTGATGAATGTTTGTTATGCAAGTATGTCAAAAAATGTTTACCCTCAAGTTCAAGAGGGTAATTCATTATGTTTAAGTGCACCATGACGAATTTTTTAATTTTTAGTTGAATCGGGTCATTTGAGCGACTAAGTTCACATTTTAAATTTGTGTGTTGTGAAAAGTTTACTGTAATGTTATTGAATTATTGTGATCTTGTGTCTTAATTAAATAACTAAAGGTGCTTTAAAGCCAATAAAAATGCCATTAACACCAGCACAAGTTGCACAAGCAGTAGCATTAATTGACCAAGGGCTGACACAGCGTGAAGTTGCTATTGTGCTTAACGTACCACGGTCCTCAATGCAGTATTCACTGAAACGATACCAAGAGACAGGCCGCTACACCCGCAGGCCAGGCAGTGGGGGCGTAAGGTGCACATCGGCCCGGGACGATCGTTTTATTGTTATGGAGATTTTGAGAAACCGCTACCTGACCGCTGTTGAGATACGCCAGCGGCTCCAAATCGCAAGAGGCGTTAATGTTAGTGAGCGTACGGTGAGAAGACGAATGGAGGAAGTGAATTTAAAAGCTCGTAGACCAGCACGAGGTCCAGAACTTCTCAGACAGCACCGAGTAGCCCGACTTCAGTTCGCAAGAGAACATGTCAATTGGACCCACGAGCAATGGGCTAGAGTGTTGTTCACAGATGAGTGTCGAATAGCTTTACGTGCTCCAGACGGTCGAGAACGAGTGTGGAGAAAAAGAGGAGAGAGGTTTCTACCCATTACCACCACCCAAACTGTGAGTTTCCATGGAGGCTCAATAATGGTATGGGGAGGTGTAAGTTCCGACGCACGTACAGAGTTGGTCATCGTCGATAATCGGCTTACAGCTACTCGA